GAGTTTGCAAACCCCGCTCGAGCGTAGGAAAGGCCGCTCGAGCGGAAGGCCAAAATCCTAGGCAACACAAGGTTTGAAAACCAAGCAACCAACATGTTCCAAACACACTCAACACGTCTAAATAACCAAATTTAAGGAGGAATAAAGAGTAAAAAGTAATGAACTGCATTTAGAAACCAGAAATCGGAGTCTAGACAACCACAAGTGTCGGGTCAAAACCAGAATCGCTATACAACTAATACTCCATCGACCAAAAAGGAGTAGTGTATGTTATTCTCACTTCGCCAAGAACATCTTTAGCTTCACAAAGGAATTGGTAAAAAACTGTTTTTAATTCTATAAATACATATCCTTGTTTTTAAGATTTTATTTTATAAATTTTATTTTGTACACAACAAATATTTGTAGGCCTACTCATGCAAGCCCATTCCTCCATTGGACTAGGAATATCGGTGTTGTTATTTGTGATGAGTGTAATCTTAATATTATCCGCAATTCTAAGGTAAGTCAAAAAATCAAGTTGAACACTGTATATTTTATTTACATTTTTTTCATATTCTAAATAAATCTTATTTATTTTTGGTAGGCCAAGGAAAAAGAAAGGCCAAGGCAATGTCTAAAGGATAAGAAAAAACAACTTCTTTTGGCAAAGGAAAGGAAATGCATGTCCAATGGTATATTCTTCAACATTTTAAAAAAAAAATATTTATCAAGTAAAACAAAGCCAATCATATTGTTAAATTGAACATCGATCATGTATATTTTTAAAAATGTAAAATTTGTGTTGTCATTTTTTGTGTGTGTGTGTATTTTTTACAGTCTACTAAAAAATCAAGAGAACGAAAAATGTATGGTTGAATTTTATTTTTCAATGCTCTTTGTTTTTTGTACACTCAAACAGAGTATTTTTAGCTCTCTTTAACATTTCCTAAAAAATAATTGTAACCTTGATCAACTCGAAGGAAAACTTTATAACATATGAGCAAAGGAACAGAGGAGCATAGGCATAGAAAATATTTTTAATTTTCTTAAAATTATCATAAGGCAAGAAGAAAGAGAAAACAATAATTTAAAAAAAATTGTATAAAAAAATAAAAGGGAGAGGGAAAATGAAGCAAAATGGAAAAGGAAGCATCGCACAGAAAATGTTTCCAATATTCTTAAAATTATCACAAGGCAGGAAGAAAAAGTAAAATATAACTAAAATAAAAAAATTATTGAATCAAGAAATAAAATAGCAGACGATAATATTTGTATTTTAGGTACCAAATCATATAATGTTCATATTTTAGGCACATAGTAATAATCCCATATCAAAAGCTATATTGGCCCAACATGTACGGCGAGAACGGGAGAAATCAAGAGAATCTATTCAACTGAGACAAACTTCTTTGATACCGTGTCATCGCAGTCATGCTTTCTTGGAACTAGGAACAAAGGCAACTGAGGATACTCAGTCGGCGCAAAAACGAACAATGGTTGCACATCCTTCCACATGTTCGTTCTTAATGCGAAACACATCTTTAGCTCTATAAAGGAATTGGTAAAAGACCGTGTTTAATTCTTCAAATATATACTCCTACTATTACCATTCTATTTTAATTTACACAGAACCAATATTTGTAGGCCTACTCTTACAACTCATTCTCTTTAAGAGGATCTATGTACTGATGAGGAATTGGAGGATATGCCTATGAGTCCAACGGTTGGTACTCGAGCACATATAAATTCATGTCGTCATTCTCTTGGCAAGATGAATGTATTATGTCCTTTATGTTCAGCATTACATTGCATGGATGAAAAATTAGTAAAATCAACTCCAAATCGTCCTCTATTCGGAACATGTTGTTCAAAAGGAAAAGTTAAGCTTCCTTTTCTTAATACACGCCTTGACTTCTTCAAGCATTATATAATGGGAATGATGATAAATCAAAATTGTTTTGATGTTATACTCGAGTGTACAATGCAACCAATGCTTTTACAAGTCTTGGTGCTACATTAGATCCAAGAGCACTTACTGGAAAAGGCTCTACATCATTCACTATCTGTAACAACCCCGACCCATGATTAACGTATAATCCATAATTAGGAATGCTTAATAAGAAATTAAGGTGAAATTTTACATTAATTGCATGTATGTTGCATTATTTGTATTCATATTTGTTTGTCGTAGAAAGATCTGTCCATGTATATGTTTTGTTCTGCGAATTGAAGGCTTTATCGCCATCCGATTGCGAAATTGACTTGAATTACGTGTTAATTGGAATTTTTAGAACATTATGGTAAGTTTAATTAGAATTCGATTCGGAACAATTAAATTAGAATAATTTAATGCTTATTAGATTAGTGGTAAGCTAATTAATTAATTTTTGATAAAGCCTATATAAGCCCACCTCAATACCCATTTTTTGCACTCTCATTTCCTCTTGCTTGAGCTCAAAAACGTGTAGAGAGAGAGACTAAGAGGGAAGTGACCTCAAACAGAGGAATTGCTTAAGAATTTGGAGATTTGCTTAGGAACTTCAATCAATTAACTCTAGAGAGCATAGTTGAGCATCTAAGGTAAGAAATCCAACCCTTAGTTGTGTGATTGAGTTAGTTTTTGTAAGAATTCAAGCAAAGGAGGTGGAATGACATGAGAATGAACTAGGATTATAGAATTGTAACTCAAATCATTCATGCATGCATATATTATAGCATTTTGAGTTTGATTCCAAAGAATTTCCACTTGCATGTGTCAAGTTTATTTTAGTTTTGAGAATTCATCTTGTTTTCCACCAATTTGCCTCATTTGGTCATGTTTTGAAAGCTTGAGCTTGTATCTTTGCATGCATGGCATGTAATGACATGTTTTCCCAATTTCAAGTTTGAGTTTTGAGCAATTGGCATACTTTTGGACCTTGATTTGGCAAAATGATCTTCAATTTATGATATTCTACAAGTTTCTAAATATTTTCTGGAGTTTTGGCCCAAAAGGATGAGTTTCAAAATGTTTAATTCGAGTTTGAAGCTTGGGAGTGCAATATGGAAATCCCAGATTCTGCACTTCCGCTCTAGCGGCAAAGTCTACGCTCGAGTGACCATTCTGTAATCTTATACTTCTGCTCGAGCGACCAGACGTCCACTCGAGCGTGAAATGCAAGCTCCCAGAAGTTTTATGTTTTTGTACACCGCTCGAGCGACAAGAGTTACGCTTGAGCGAGGACCTAAGTCTCACGCTCGAGCAATCATCAAGCGTCCGTCGAGCGTGAAAATCACACAACCAGTACTTTTGCAAAGTTTCTAGACCGCTTGAGCGAAGGAAGTTGCACTCAAGCGAACACTCACATTTTTCATGTCCACTTGAGCAAAGGAAGATGAGCTCAAACGGGACCCCTGTTTTCAACAAATTTGACTAAGTGTTCTGAATCACATTTTGGCATCCTCATATCATTCTAGGCATTTCTAAGCCCTAATTAAGTTAGAATAACGAGGAATAAAAGTAGAACACACCAAAATAAGAGAGAATAAGTTATGATTCCGGGTGTGTAATTCTGTACATATTCGTTTTGTATCTGTGTAGATTACGCGCCATAAGTTACCTGATCTGTCTACTTTGTCTGTTTGCTTGGAGCCATTTGTGAGTAATAACTCTGTAAAGCTACGTTTAATTATAAGTATTTTCTGATTGATATGATACGATTTGTTTTCTGAAATGTTATTTTATGAATCACGAAAGAATGTCCATCTTTTTGAAATATATTTACGGCTTCCCAATATGTACGTGGCCCTCGCTCAGGGGTAACAATACCGTGGTTTATGTTCACATGGCCCTCACCTGGGAGTAACAATGTCGTGGCTTATGTTCACGTGGCCCTCGCCCGGGCATAACGATATTGAGGCCTATATTTACGTGGCCCTTGCCTGGGAGTAACAATACCATGGCTACTTGCACGCAAGATATGGACCTTAATGGTTATCGGTACCGACTATGTAAACTTGATATGTCATAATAGCTAAATGGATGTACCACAAATACTTGTTGATGATTTCTGGAAAGTATGTGAATATGGATCTGTTTCTAATTTGAAATTTGATATGGGACATCATTCATTAAATTCTTTACTTTGTTATTATTCACTAGGCTCTCGCTCATCGTTTATATTTATGTATGTAGGTGAGCAAGCGCATGACCAGGTTCAAAGTTGATGACCTGGTGTCTCTGTTTTGTTAGCCAACTGTCGCGCCTCCAAGGAGGTTTCCTTTTGTGAGCGGGTAAAGTCTAAATGGCATGTGTTAAGACTTTGTTTTCTTTTGGGTTTATGAGCAAGTTTTGTTTATCTGTAAATTGGGTTAAGTTCCACTTTTGTCTTATCTGTATCTGTGAGTGACGTATGACTGTGTTAATTATGACGTCACAAGTGTATATAAAGTTTTAAATTTTTATGTCCTATATACATCTCCATAGCTCGTTGGACTATGTATGTTTCTTTATTTGCTTTCGCAGCCCCTAATTACAAGCTACTCTGTTTAGAGGCCTTTGGTAATCTAAGAATTACTGGCCAGTTACAACACTAAACCTATAGAGGCGGGTTTGGGTCGTGACAGAGTGGTATCAGAGCATGTGTTCCACCGCACACACGAGTCCATATGAGCTTAGGGTGTCCTAGTAACAAGTAGGGGCATTCTATCTGCATGTGTGAGTGTATGTTCATTGAAAGTGAAAACTAAATCTGACCATAACCACATGGCATTGAAACAAATAATTTGAATGTTGTGAAAAAGACTATTTGCCTATGTTTATAATGCTCTGTTTACCTATAGCAATGGAAGATACAAGAAGTGACAATACAGCTGAATCATTTGAGGCTCAAATGAGCTAAATGGAACAAATGCTTGCGGCCCTGACAGAGGCAATGACGCAACAACAGAGGCAATAACCTTTACCTCATCCGCCTTCACCGGTCCAAGTTGAACCAAATAACAATGACCTAGTCAACCTCACCCGAAAATTTATGAAGATGAAACCACCAACCTTCTTTGCTGGTATTGAACCCTTAAAGGCAGAAACATGGCTACTAGAAATGGAGAAGCTATTTGAAGTGTTTCCGTGTTCCGAGACACAAAAAGTCCTTTTGGCCACCTACACTTTAAAAGATGAAGCTCGAAGATGGTGGTTGTTAATCCGCAATAATAATGGGGATATGACATGGGCTCAATTCAATGAAATATTTTACAACAATTACTTTTCCCAATGCTTCAAAGATCGAAAAGTGTCAGAATTTCAAGAACTCAAACAAGGCAAGATGTCTATAGCCGAGTATGAAGCTAAGTTCACTGAGTTGGCCAGATTTGCTTCTCATATGGTCGACACAGATTACAAAAAGGCTCAAAAATTTGAAGGGGGATTGGATTTGGACGTATTTGATCGAGTAGGCATGCTAAAGTTGCCTATGTATGTGGAAGTACTTGATAGAGCATTGATGGCAGAGGTCATTTTGGCAGCAAAGAAACAAGCTCTAGCTCAACCAATTGAATGAAAGGGTAAAAGATCTGGATTTAATTTCAAGAGGGGTTGGTCATTTCCAGAAAGGCTATACAGGATCCTCCAGCAGCTCTAGTTAGAATAGTGAATCTATTTCGAACTGTCCTGATTGCAAAAGGAAGCATAAAGGTGCATGTTACCATGCAGCAGGTGCGTGTTTTTGGTGTGGCAAAACTGGCCACATGGTTAGGGATTGTCCGCTGAGATCCGATGAAATTAACCGTCCTGTGGCAAGTTCAACCAAGTCTACTTCTGTGGCAAGGTCAAATGCAAGAACTAATCTCAAGGGTAACACTAGAAATGAAATGCTAAGGCAAGGGAGAGTGTTTGCATTGGTACCTGCTGATGTACAGAATACTGAGTCAGTGGTGTCAGGTATAATCTATATCTGTGCTCAGAATGCCTATGTGCTAATTGATTCTGGTTCCACGCATTTATTTGTATCGCATGCTTTTTCTCAGAAATTAACTAGACCCTTAGAATCCATGAATTATTTATTGTCTGTATCTATGCCATCCAGGGGTTCTATGGTATGTGTGTATGTGTACCGACATGTGATATCGTGATTGGTGATGTGATATTGTATGTTGATTTATTGCCTTTGGGAATTGATTATTTCGACTGCATATTGGGTATAGACTGGTTAACGAGCAACTATTGACTGTGTGAATAAGTTTGTTATATTTCGTCCACCTGGGTTACCTGAGTTTGTGTTTACTTGGAATGGGGTGGTCCCTCTCCCATACTTGATTTCTGCCATGAAAGTTGTCAAATTGCTTAGGAAGGGTTGTAGAGGGTATATGTGTTGTGTTTTAATGATGACTTCTGATAATCCCACTGTAGAGAACATCTCTGTAGTAAATGAATTTCCTAATGTATTTCCAACTGAATTGCCAGGAGACTTAATTGATAGGCAAATTGAGTTTACTATTGATGTTGTACCCGGAACACAACTAATTTCCAAAACCCCATATAGAATGTCAACTTCTGAATTGAAAGAGTTGAAAGTTCATCTCTAAGAACTCGTAGACAAGAAATTTATCCGTCTGAGCACATCACCTTGAGGTGCTCCAGTGTTGCTTGTTAAAAAGAAAGTCGGATCTTTGAGGCTGTGTATTGACTACCGTGAGTTGAACAAGGTAATTGTGAAGAACAAATATCCATTGCCCCGAATAGATGATCTATTTGTCCAACTTCAGGGAGCACAAGTGTTCTCCAAGATAGATCTTAGATCCAGGTATCACTAGTTAAAAGTTAAGGCGGAAGATGTAGAGAAAACTGCATTCAGAATTAGATACGAACACTATGAATTTTTGGTAATGCCGTTTGGGGTGACTAATGCATATGCTACCTTCATGGACCTTATGAACAGGGTGTTTAAATCATATTTGAATGAATTTGTTGTTGTATTTATTAATGATATTTTGATTTACTCCAAAAGCAAGGAAGATCACGAGAATTACTTAAGAATCGTGTGACAGACTCTGAGAGAAAAGAAGCTATATGCAAAATTTTCCAAATGTGAATTTTGGCTTGACAGTGTAGCATTTCTGGGGCATGTAATTAACAAGGATAGTATTTCGGTTGACCCACAAAAAATTGAAACTATTGTGGACTGGCCAAGACTAACCAATGTGTTAGAAGTACGAAGTTTTTTTTGGGCTTGCAGGCTATTATCGCAGATTCGTGAAAGTTTTCTCCAAACTTACCATGCCATTGACACAGTTAACACAAAAAAATGTACTATTTGACTGGAACGATCAACGGGAGTCGGCCTTTCAAGAATTGAAGACTAGATTGGTAACTGCACTAATTCTGACCTTGCCTAATGGAATTGATGGGTTTCAAATTTACAATGATGCCTCCTACAAAGGTTTGGGTTGCATGCTGATGCAAAATGGAAAGGTAATTGCTTATGCTTCTCGGCAACTCCGTCCTTATGAAAAGAACTATATGACTCACGACCTGAAACTAGCAGCTGTGGTTTTTGCTTTGAAAATCTGGCGCCATTATCTATATGGAGTGACTTGTGAGGTGTATACCAATCATAAACGTTTGAAACATTTCTTCACCTAAAAAGAATTGAATATGAAATAGAGACAATCGCTTGAGTTGATCAAGGATTACGACTTGCAAATCTTGTACTATCCAAGAAAAGCCAATACCGTTGCAGATGCCTTGAGTCGAAAATCCATGGGTAATTTGTCATGTTTACTCACCGGTCAAAAAGAGTTAATATGTAAGCTAGAAAGGAATGAGATTGAAATTGTGCTACGTGAATAAGGCGGGATCTTAGCCGCCATTTTTGCTTAACCTACAATCGTTGAAGACATTAAAGAGAAATAACATGAAGATGAATTCTTGAAGAAAATTTTCGATGAAATTGAGTCAAAACCGAGACCCGGGTTCGTAATTGAAAGTGATGTGTTAAAATTTCAGAATAGACTTTGTGTACCGGATTATTCTGATTTAAGAAAACATGTTATGACCGAAGCTCACAATTCAAAATTTTCTATGCATCCCTGGAATACAAAGATGTACCATGACTTGGTGGCCTAGAATGAATAAGAGTATTGCTAACTTTATAGTTAGATGTTTGCACTACCAACAAGTTAAAGCTGAACATCAATGACCTGCTAGATTACTTCAACCACTCCCAATACCAGAATGGAAATGAGAGCATATCACTATGGACTTCATTGTGAGTTTGCCTCACTCTTCTCGAGGTATGGATTCTATCTAGGTCATAGTTGATCGTTTGACTAAATCTGCCTATTTTCTGCCTGTTAAAATTATTTATAATGCGGATAAGTTGGCTAACATTTATATGAATGAGATTGTGAGATTACATGGTGTGCCAGTATCTATTGTATTTGACCGAGATTCAAAGTTCACGTCAAGGTTTTGATAGAGGTTACAACAGGCTTTGGGAACTAATTTACGGATGAGTAGTGCTTATCATCCATAAACCGATGGCTAGTCTGAATGAACCAATCAAACCTTGGTGACCATATATTTATCAAAGTGACTCCGATGAAAGGTCAGATACGATTTGGGGTAAAAGGAAAGCTAGCACCAAGATGCATTGGCCCGTATGAAGTTTTAGAGAAAATCAACTCAGTAACATACCGAGTGGCCTTACCACTTGTGATGGAATATATGCACAACGTTTTTCACGTCTCTGTGCTTCAGGATTATTTGAGAGACCCATTACATGTGATTGAGCCGACACATGCATTGCTAAAGGATGACTACACGTATGAAAAATGGCCGATCCAAGTTGTTAACCAAAGAATCAAAAGGTTGAGGAACAAGGAGATCCCATTGGTAAAGGTTGATTGGAAAAACCACGGAGGGACCTATGTGTGGACACCCTATTTTTGACCGCCCGCAAGGCTCGAGCACTTTACTCAGAACACTCGATGATGAAAGTTGTATTATGCATGGTTCGAGGTCTTAATGAAGGAGTCTTGTTCAAGCTTCGAAATAACCCCAAATCTTCCATATTCCCATTGATCATACCTAAGAAATTCCCTTGTACACCTTGTGCCACCCTGTGTTGAGGCTAAAACGGAAAAACAGGGGAATTCATTGAGGGTCGGCCGGGCTTTAGTAGTGAGAAACACTGTTCTGGGTAGGAGGCCTCCAGCTGTCCATTTTTGAAGATATTTATCACCTTTTGTGCTCAAATTCTATAAATATGACCATATCCCTCTATTTTGGAGCTTGAACAATTGAAAGAAAGCCTATACACATAGAGAGAGCTCCTTATTCCATTGCAAGCTACCTTTGAGTTAATCTACCAACCTTGTATCATCTCTATGCACCATACACAATCTTGACTCATCATCTTAGAGCCTTGGTTGACCCTTGAGAAGCATAATTCAAACTTGAGAGTGTGTCAAGAGTGAGTTTGATCATCAACCAAAGCTTACTCCATTTTGAGAGGTATAAGCTTGTGACTTTTGTTCTTGCTTTTGCTTACTTCATTTCTACCTGTTTCTTGCATTCTTAGACTATTTTGTATCCATTTTAAGTGTTAGAACTTGGGTTTGGATAAGCTACTAACGGTCGTAAGGTTAACACCCTTACTTGCACCTATTTTTATAGCTCAACCCTTGGCTCCTTTACACTCTTTTTCTTTGATTTTCAGAGTTGAACTAAGGCCAAAAAAATTGGTTTGAAGTCTTGAAATTAGAGGGGTTGGCCACCCCTCTTTGTTTTTGCTTACATAGCTTTATTATCTTTACCTTTGGTTTAGCTTTTGAGCTCTTTTCTTACCTTTTCAGCCACTGTTTTGGGCTTATTAGAGACTAGTTTAGGGCCGTCCTACTCTATTTAAGTGATTCAAGCTTTGATTAGTTCATTTGTTGTAGCATTAGTCTTTGTACATAGCTTATCTTATGTAGTTCTTAGCTTTTCTTTGTCTAACTTTTATGCGAATAACCTCATTTTAAGAATCAACTTGCCACTCATTTCTTTCATTTGAGAGTCGTTTCCATCAGTTGATGGTCATTCAACACATTCTGCACTTCTTTCTTTCATTTAGAAATCCCAGATTATGCACTTCCGCTCGAGCAGCAGAGTCTGCTCTCGAGTAACCACTCTGTAACCTTACACTTTCGTTCGAGCAACCAGACGTCTGCTCGAGCGTGAAATATGAGCTCCCAGAAGTTTCATGTTTGTGCAAACCTCTCAAGCGACCGTCAAGCATCCGTCGAGCGTGAAAATCACATAACCAGTACTTTTGCAAAGTTTCCAAACCGCTTGAGTGAACACTCACATTTTTCATGTCTGTTCGAGCGAAAGAAGATGCGCTCCAGCGGGACCCCTATTTCAGCAAATTTGACTAAGTGTTCTGAATCACATTTTGGCATCCTCATATCATTATAGGCATTTCTAAGCCCTAATTAAGTCAGAATAATGAGGAATAAAAGTAGAACACACCAAAATAAGAGAGAACTAAGTTATGATTTTGAGTGTGTAATTCTGTAC